AGTTCTAATATAAGTCAAAATTGGGTGCATTACCTTATTTAATTTTAAGAGTTTTATATGTGATCACAAAAACTAATTGAAAAAAAAACCAAAATAAAGAACATTCAAAACCAAAATAAAGAACTCGCCAACACATGCATTTCTATAATTAACCCTGAGACAATATATTGTAACAGATATGTTCCAAAGCCATCGTGGGAATGCAGACATCTTGTAAAAAAAAATAAGTCAATAATAAAGCCGTCGAAAAAAAAACAAAGTGTGTTGAATGTCGAGCGAAAGTAAACCCTCTTCATAACGCAGGTCGTGAAACTTGCCTTTCGACTTTTTAACAATACGGAAAAGGATTTTTATTTCCTGCGATGTCGGTTCCTGTGCATCACCATTTTTTGTCTTTAAATGATGCAATTTTTCGCATCGGATGATTAGTGTAGAAAGTTCGAATTGCGGCAAATAAAGGCAATATTAAAAAAATATGGCCGGGTAATTAAATGCGATAGATTGCCAATTTCGATAACCGTCAGGAATTTTCAGCTTTCAAATTTGAAAGAAGATATTATAAAAAAATTACGATGAGATATCTATGGAAGCGAATCATTACAAATTGTTTCCAAGTAATAAAGTTGAATTACACTGTTATAAACATCATAGTTGTTAACATGAGTTTGAAAATTTTATTTTGTAAAATATTAACATATTTTTTTTAGAAAACCAAGGAAAATAATTTACCGAAAGTTTTGTAAAGATAATATGCAATTTTGTACGCATTTTGTTCATTTCAACACTGATACAAAATATTCTAGCATAAAAGATTATTTATTGCTTAAAGAAAAAAGTTCTCTTGAAAACAAACACAAAATCTCTTGAATGTTTCATCTTTAATATTATTATAGGTATTTATAATATACATATTGCCGGTTGTGTTGTGTTATGGCGTGTTGTATGTACTTTCACAGTGGAGTTGGAATCATTAAAACTCTTTTTAAATAAATGAAATTTAATTAATTTGTTTAATGTTTTTGAAGGTAAGAAATTAATTAAAATATGTAATCAAAATTTTATGTTAAATCATATTTATGTTACTTTATTAGGGTTAGTATAAAAAAACTTGCGCTTTTGTTGATATCAAACAATAAATGTCTTATTTTATTTAAATATTTTTTTTGTAAACCTTTTTTTCAGTCAATCTTCTAGTTTTTAATTATTCCAATATTTAGGCTTGAACTCCCCTCACTACGAAGGTCCTTGATTTTAAATGTTAAACGCATGGTGAGGGGAATTTAAGCTTAAATACTAACAACGCTGGTAGTGAAGATCAGAATTTGAATAGATCAATACAAACTATTATACCAAGAGATATTTGCTCTAAAATCAAAATAAAATGTGTTTTTTCAATAGTATATCCTTTTGTAGCAAGGTAAATTTTCTTTTTTAGAAAGTTCCTAAGCTTTTCAATTAAGAGATGCAGTTTTCTTGTTAAAATCCCATTTTTTGAGCTAAAAACGTTTTCTTCATTTAAAATATTTTGAATCAAAGTGATTTTTATTTTTTTAAGAGATTATATTTTTCAGTGTAGTGTTGTAGTAGTAGTGTTATATTGCGCCAAATTTCTATTCAATTAGTTAAATGAATACAGTTGGTTGTACATTTAACATAAAGTTATGTGGACCTGTATTAACAAAAACCATGGTTAATATTTTTTTTTAAATTAACAAACATTTTTATTACTCCACAACTATTTCGTTTCTCAACTTTAACCGTTGCCTCGGGCTTCAAGTTAAAATTGAACAAAAGTGACAGCTGTCAGATGGCTTTAAATTCCTTGCGGTAGTTGAATAAAATATTGCGTGCGACATTTTTTGCTGCGATTTAGTAAATTAAATTTAGTCACCACACCTTTACCATCGATTATTTATTTACGGCGAACGTTGGTCGAAAAAAAAAAGTTAACGATTAATTTACCCCGATCTATTTTAAGCCGTTAAAAACCAATTTCGCGTCTGCATTACGAACGTCCCTTCGTAAAATTCGTTGTTTTCCATTTCCAGGCCAATCACCGAGCAGCTTTCCATCGTTAACCGGTTGCTAATTGGGAAAAATTCGCAATTTCGACGAGATAAAGGTAAAGGGAAATCGGCTTTTAACTGACGAGCATCGAGATTTTAGAACCTAAAAAATCCTTGCTTTAAGCCTAAAGATTCTAGTTAAAAAAAACGATACATTGTGTTTTCTTGTCAATCCAGGTGCATTCTACGTATCCTAATTTGTTATTGCAAGTATAGCGCTTAAAGCAATTACTTAAAGCAACCACTTTAGCATTAATTTATTGCATCCAAACTTAAATTAAACATCTTCTTTCGGATTTAACAAATTCTCGCTTAGTTAAGGCAATTAAACTTTGGCGCTGTAAAATCAAACTTTATTTGCTTTCCTTACAGTCAATATATTTTCCCGACAATGCTGTAATTTTTACGCAACAGTGAATTCCTTTCAAGGAACAAACTAAAAAAAAAAGGTTAAAAAAAGTGCAGCTCCCAGGCATTTACTTTTAAATAATTAACAAGCAATCGAAAAAGTTTTCGGTAAGAAAGGTTTTTAATAACGGGAAACTCAATAATTTTTTAAAGGACTTTTGGAAATACGAAGATTAATTATTCAAACTTTTCCTTATTGGGAAAATTGCCTTTTCATTAAAAAGTATCAAAATTGTTATTTTATTGCTAATAAGTTTTCAAGTCAATTTTACAGAAATTAGATTAAAGGTGATGTTGATTGATTGATTTTTAAGACAATAAATCGAAATATTATTTTGATGAATCTGTCATTTGTGTTTATGGATACACTGTTATAAAAATCTGATTTGTTATCATGAGTTTGTAGTTTGTTAATTTTATTTTGTAAATTTTTTTTTGTTTACTTTTTCAAAATGAAATTTTGAGTAAAATGTATATTAATAATAAAGTGAAATGTAGAATATATTACATTTTTCATTATTGAAAATTTTGACCAAGACTAAAAATCTGATTTCTTATTATTTGGTAGTTTCCACATTAGAAAGCATTAGCAATGTAAAACTTCTACACTAATACAAAAAATTAAAGGATAACATTTTTTTTGCGATTTTTTGGAAGCTGTATCTTTGTTAAGAATGGTCGTATTGGAGCCGTAAAAAAGCAATTTGGAGCTTGAAGTTTCTAGTTTTGAGATTTTTAGATGAAAAACATGCAACGCTCAATCCTAACGAATACTGTAATAAAAAAAAAATTGCTTTCTTTTTTGGTCCACCAATGAATAAATGTTCTACAAGAAATTGCTATTGTTTTTTTGAAAAAAAATCCATACTCTACATGAATTTGAAAAATCATGAAAAAAGTGCTTTTGGTAGCTTTTTGAAAAATCAAGCTGAATCAAAAATATTATTTGTATCTCTACTCAAAATAGACAATCATTTCGCAAAAATGATTTTACGCTTGTTTTATTTAATAGAATTTCAAGCCTTCTTGATTTAAACGTTTTGGTAAATATACGCGCAAAAAAAATTACCGTTTTTAAGTAAAATTATCTAGAGAATTGTATTCTAAGATCGAGAATTCAAAAAATGTCCAAAAAAAATATATATGAATACATTTTATTATTTTATTTTTGTTAAAACATTTTAAAACATAGTCAATCATTGTACAATATTCCTTAGTAAAGCAGCTTTCACTTTAAAACTGCATAATTACTATTGATATTTAACAAATCCCTGTAGATTACAAGATAAAATAATTATTACAACAAGGCGTCGTGATTTTTAATAACTTGATCTATCTGCTCCATTTTTGACGTTCGTTTCGCAAATCAAAAAACAAACCGAACAAATTAAATTACGTGCTTTTTTTGCCCCGTCGAGCGTTTGTTTTGCACCGAAAGGTAAATACTCTATTTATATTATTTAGTAGACTGGGCCAAAAAAATTGACTATTTTTTTTTTTTGAAAAATATATCGAGAATGTCATTCAGAATGACAAAAAAAATATTTCGTGAAAATTTGAGCCCTTAATATTAATTTTAAGAGGTCTATCATCACTATTTTTTATTTTTAGTCATAATTTGATGTTTTACGTTAGAACTGTCAAAATAATAAAGTGAAAAAAATTCCTTTTCACTTATTTTTATATAAAATTAAATTCTCTACAAAAAAGGTGTGATTGAAAATTTTCGTCAGACGAGCCGTTTCCGAGTAATTGAGCTTAATAAATCGATGTGTTTTTTCGATTTGCCCTTTTTACTTTGAAATTTTGTAACTAATGAATCAATGAATATTTAAAAAAGCTCACATCGGATTCTTAAAGTAAATTTAATGTTCTACAAAAAAGGTCTCTTAACATTTTTGCCTAAATTTAATTTTTCAAAAGTTATTCACGATTAAAATCGAAGAAAAACTTAAAATTTCAATTTTTTCTTCGTGAATAACTTTTGAAGAATTAAATTTAGGCAAAAATGTTCCGAGACCTTTTTTGTAGAACATTAAATTTCCTTTAAGAATCCGACGTGAGCTTTTTTAAATATTCATTGATTCATTAGTTACAAAATTTCAAAGTAAAAAGGGCAAATCGAAAAAACACATCGATTTATTAAGCTCAATTACACGGAAACGGCTCGTCTGGCGAAAATTTTCAATCAGACCTTTTTTGTAGAGAATTTAATTTTTTATAAAAATAAGTGACAAGGAATTTTTTTCACTTTATTGTTTTGACAGTTCCAACGTAAAACATCATATTATGACTAAAAATCAAAAATAGCGATGATAGACCTCTTAAAATTAATATTGAGGGCTCAAATTTTCACGAAATTTTTTTTTTGTCATTCTGAATGACATTCTCGATATATTTTTCAAAAAAAAAAAATAGTCAATTTTTTTGGCCCAGTCTATTATTTAGTCCCCGTGCTCTTTCATAAACCCCTGTGACATTTGCAAAACGGAACCAATCGATATTTCAATTAGCCTTAAGGGCACTCTAACGGAATAGTCCTTGCACAATTTTATTTGCAGGATTCAAAGGATTCCAAATGCAATTATCCTGCGTGTGGGTGTGCATAAATCTGCGCGACTAAAGGTTTAAATACATACATAATTGTGGTTTCACCCAGGTACACATAGAAATTGGGGATTATTATTCTCGTGTTAAATGCGGTTTTCCTTAATTATGATAAAATATTTTAAGTCCTTCCATACCATTTTTTTTCAATCCAATAGTTTTTGGTAAGATCACAGATATTTTCAAGGTTTCGATTTTGTCTAACGTATCTAGAATTGCAAATTAATTCACAGTGTAATCAATATTCATGTTGATGTTACACAAAATAAGTAGATGGTAATCGGATGCTTCAACATACATACATAGAGTAAAATTAATCAGTAATATGCGAATATATATGTGCATATGTATCATCGATGGGCAATTGTTTAGAATTTTCGCAATTCAAATCGATTTATTGCTTATCTATGCGCAATAGTTTAAGTGCAACTTATTTGAAAAATGCAATGAATATATTTGGGTGAAAACTAAATGAGTTTGACCTACACTTTTATTGTGTTTTGATCTTTCATAATTATAATTAAGTAGATATTACCGCTCAGGTCCCAGATTTTTAACCGCAATTAATTATTTTTTACATTGATTTTAAAGTCTAAAACCTATCCTCCGTGACTGTTACTCTTTCTAGGTTAACCTATATGTTTTCAAATATCTGAGGTAGTAAAAGCATACTAAAAATATCAGTTAACTAAGTAAATTAAACACATCCAAAGCAATCGAATCAAATATAAAATATTATTAAAAATTAAAAGAAATAATTTTTATAACCATTTATGTAGGTGTTACAAAAATTGATTCTATCCTCCGTTAATCTGTTTTTGCTTTTAATTTTATGCAACGGATGGCGCTTTAATCATTTTAAATAAGCAAAAACCTCTGTTTACGACATTATGGATGCATGTGATTCCTGAAGATCAGTTAGAATTTATATGCAGATGAAAGAGTTGCTGTTTTTTAAGTTCATTAATTTGCTATTTAAAAACCTATCCACCGTGAAGTGTAATATAGTAAGTAGATTTTTTTATATAAATATGTATGTACAATTGAATTTTTAAAAAATATCAAGGTGTCAAAAGATACAATAACTTATTTCAAATATACAAAGGGATGTTTAAAAAAAACATACGAAATTCTAACCTCCGTGAAGCTATCTTCCGTGAATCTCTAATATTCAAAAAGTATAATTTCTTAAAATTCTTGCATTAGTGCAGGACCACTTATGTTATGTTATTACTAGACCTGGTGGCTTCCCAAAAACCCCATTCTATAGACTAAAAGTGAAACAACGAAAAATAAAAAATATTAATTTTTTACAAAGTAACAAAAAAAATTTGACCAAAAATGTACTGCACCAATACTATTTTTTGCATAATTCTACAGCCAAACTTCGATATTGACTACATCGCACCTACAAAATCAAAAAATCTCAGTAATTAACATTCTGTGTCGCCAGCAGGGACCCGGACCGAAATGAAATATCGGTTCCGGTACGGTTTTGGTTCACCCTATTTTCGTTTTAATGGTTCCGATTCCGGTTTCGGTTTCGTGGAGTTATAACGGTTCGGTTCTTTTCGGTTTTAAGCGGTTCCAGTGAGGTTATTTGTTTTACGTAATTTTAATCTATAACCTAATATGTTATATAATGTTATTAGAATGAAAGCAAATAAAGGTTTCGGTTCCGGTCCAACAGATTTTATCAAAAGCGAAAACGGTTCCGGTTCGGGTTTCGGTTCGGAAAAAAAACCGGTTCCGTTCCGGTTTTCGGTTTTTTTCGGTTTCGGTCCGGGTCCCTGGTCGCCAGTGTAATTATTTAAATATTATTATAATATTTATCACGCATAAAATTAACTTAATATTAAACATGTACAATTTAATATTTCCGCTCTACATTGTATTACATTACCCGAAAAATAAAAAGTGTTTTGTTTTACATCAATCAAGAATAACTACAAAAATAAATAAAAAAAACCTTACTGCAGTTACTTCTATAAACGCTTCAATAATACATCAGAAACAAAATAAAAGAAAAGTCAATTTAATGCTACAAAACCATAGAATGTAAAATAAATGTTTATTTCTCATAAATATATTATCCAACAAACTCCGTTATATCTATACAAAGTCTCGCTTTATTCGTTAAACGATCGATGAAGACAATTATTTTCAATTTTTCTCAACCTTATACTTTCTTTGGTGTAATGGATTAGCTTTGCAAAAGTTTTCCGCTTCAAAAGAAAACGTATTTTCTTGCCTTTATTATTACTATTACTATGGTGCAAAATTTTAATGCCTAAATATAATCGATAAGATACTTTAACAAAAACACGGTTTTAACGCTTTCTACTCGCATTATATCTATCTATAGATGTATATATGCATGTATGTATGTTGCTACTTAAGCTTGCTTTAATTGAAGAGAAAATTAATTACAATCTCACACAGGAGCGTATTTATGCAGCTGTGGCCCTGAGCTAATTTTTCTAATTTGGATTTTACGGGTTTAAACAATTAAAATAACAAAAACAAAAAATACTGTCCAAAAGGGACGTGATCTTATAAATTTCGCGTACACAAACCCTTGGACCGCATCAGTACCGGGTAGCCATGACTGTGAGAGCACATAAGTATAAAAACTCATTTTTTGACAATGTTAACTAGAGCTTAAAATAAAATCCTAAATGTGCAACTAATAAACTTATAAAAGTTTCTAAAGGTAATCTGAATAAATACCACAAAGCAATAATAAATTAATTACTGTAATCATAATTTTGCTCAACTCTGCTTAACATTCATAAAAAATCGTAGGTAATAAACCATTGTTCAAGTATGTTTGTCGTAACATTGTTGTTACTGGAGTGAGTCAGGTTGAACGAACTTTAACGAAGAAAGAAGAATAAGAAGATTTTGTTCGGATTTTTCCATTCTCGAACTTTTAAACCGAATTTTCATAATCTGATTTTTTTATGGAAATCCCGTTCATGAAAGTCAAATTAATTGGGCGAATGCCACCGAAAAATTGTATTTTCAGATAAGACCTTTTCTTACGTTATGTATGTATTGTTGTGCCCCAAGGACCTCTATTAAGGCATTTTAAGGAGTCTAGGGGCTACAAATAATAATAGCTAGTGGGAAAAGGGTCTCGACCTCTATAAAGCAGCTTGTCAAGAACAAAGACTACAATTTATCGACTTAAATTTTTAATATTCGAAATAAAAATGTCAGTTTTAAAACCAGCAAAAAATCTTAAAATAGTTATAAAAACTATTTTATGTTGTATTATATTTTAATTTGGAATGGGTACCGAGAATCAAATTTCATTAGTTATTATTATTTAGTTATGTATTTTATGACAAGATTAAAAAAACTATAAAAATAAATAATTATGACAAGATTAACATAAATTTAAAAAAAACATTAAGAATTTTAGGTTCTTTGTAACCAATAACATTGTATTTTAAGGATAACAAAAAATACATTTGATTACCTTTGGGAAGATATTTATTAGCAACTTGTTTTGGGTTCCATAAAAAAATTGTATTTGAAAATACACCCAACCAATCTTATATGATACCCAGAAATTACGAGAAACATTATTTTACTTTAAAAAATGGCCAACTCTATTTTGCACTACTATTTTTGGAACCCTTAAAAAGAAAATGAAAGAAATGGAAACAATGCATAATTTACTCTTCTTTGGTTTCTTTGGGTTCCTTACCCTTTTTAAAAACCAATAGTATTTTTTAACAGGAATTTTAAAAACCATATAATAAAAAATTTAAAAATAACACTCGATTTAATATCTTGCTTTGGGTTCCTAAAATTTGATTTCTTATATGTTTGGTGGCTTATTCAGTGGTTCGTGGTACCTGTGAACCGAAATGTATTACCTTTGGGTATACAATCATTATTTTTGGAACCCTTAGAAAGAAAATGAAAGAAATGGAAACAATGCATAATTTACTCTTCTTTGGGTTCCATACCCTTTTCAAAACCAATAGTATTTCTTTACAGGAATTATGAAAACCATACAACAAAAAATCTAAAAATACCACTCGATTTAATAACTTGCTTTGGGTTCCTGAAACTTGATTTCTTATGCGTTTGGTGGCTTATTCGGTGGTTCGTGGCACCCGTGAACCGAAACTGGCTCGGTTATCGAACCCAACGACGAGCATGAGCATCTTAATGACGACGTAACGTCTGCTCGGGCGCTGCTGCTACGGGTTCCACGTAACTTCAAGGTTGCGCCGCGGCTGAATTCACACGACTGCGTTTGCCAGATGATGTTTCCCAAATAAGCGCGCACAACGTGTTAATCTTTGTGTATTTTGCCACTAAAGGGTTCCATGAACTTTCATTTTAGATTTGTCCAAATGAGTTCCAAAGTTTCCATTTCGATTATATGCATAAATTTAAAAAAATAACAATAAAGTATAAAACCCTGAAATAATCAGCATTTTTCTATTTAATAGCACAATTATAAAATATCTTGATAAAAAACGCTATTAAAAAATGTTTAAGGAATTCCTTAATTGTTTCTAATGAGCATTTACAATTACTTGGACCTTGCGTCCTTGAATTTCGGCGGGGGCAATGACACGTTTTTCATACATGGGAAAAAACTTCTTTATTAACCGCAAGAAGACGATTTTTCGGCTATATCCGAGCCATCGACGTTTTATTATTACTCGGCTCGAAAATAAATTCCCCGGTGCGAAAAAAAAACACCTGAGAGAGGGAATAAATAATAACGGTTCCCACGGCAACCCGTGGGATTCTCGACTGTTCTATCCTCCTTTTAAAAAAGACGCCGGGCGTCGTAAAAACCGTCTAAGCGTCGTAATATTTTTAGCTGCTTCAAAGCGGGCGAGAGATGCGTAAAAAAATGCATAAACCCTGTGGAAAAACCTTGAGACGCTTTCCACGTATTTCGAATTTAAATTTTTTATCGTCGGATTTATTAAATGTGGTTGGAGTGGATTTGGTCTTAAATAAAAGTATACAGGACACTT